CACACACACACTCACTCACACACACACTCACACACACACACACACACTCACACACGTATTCTTCATCAGACCAGAGTCGCTCTGAAAGCTGATGAGAGCCGGAGGTCACAGACAGATGGAAAACACAACTACTGATCGACTGGAACGAGTCAGAATGAACCAAATGTCACTGATCCTGGAGACAACAGTGGCTCTGAACCGGTCGCAGGCTCAGGTCCTTCACTGCCTCGATATGACAATCAATGATTGATCAAAGCACAGAGCCCAGATCCTCATCCAGCTGTCACCACAACACCGTTCAGAAAACCAGCGCACGCTGAATCTGAACACCGGCCTAAATGAAGCGGAAGCGGTCTGGATCTAATCCTGCTCAGGAATGAGGAAGAGGTTTTTCTCATTAAACAATGAATGCAAATCAATGACAATCCTCTCCAATCCTCAACACAAACTCACAACGCCTGAGATCAGAAAAACAGACAAACCACAGCGTCGCTCATTCAGACCACAGGCGTCTCTGGTCTTTTCATTTCTAAACTGATTTCTAACTAAAAGCCAGTTAAGCACAATGTTCAAAATGAAATGCATTATAAAGTGTTACAGAGAGAATGTTTTCCTGGATGAGCCTGGAAAGGTTAAACATAAACATAAGCATAAAAGACAGAATGAAACGATGATGCATTTCTGAGTCAAACAAGATATATATTTTTTTTTAATATTTAACCCTTTACAATAAGGTAAGTGAACACATTAATTAACATACACTAAAAAAAGAGCAATAAAGTATGCTAGGATATTTATTAATATTTTTAAACGTTACTTAATGTAAGCTCAGGTCCAATAAATAAAATTAACAGATACAAGATTTAATTTTGACAATGTATGTAAAATCAACAAGAGCAATGACATGCATGCAAGTCTCAGTTAGCCTAAAGCAGTACATGTAGACAGTTTTTTTTTTTTTATTATTATTTATTATATAATAAATAAAACGAAAACAGATAGAATAGAAAAAGAATAGAGCAAGCTAGTGTTAGAAGGCTTTTTTGTTGCTTTTTGTTAATTGTATAAAAGAAAAAGAAAAAAAGATAGAATACAAAAACATTAGAGAAGCTAGAGTTCGTTTCCCCCACAGCATCCATGAGTGCATGAGTCGATCATCAGGTTATAACCCTTCAACGCGGTCTTTAAAACTCATTACAGCAGAGATGCCCTGACAGCCCACAGGAGCGCGCTATAAATAAAACAATAACATATCTCTGAGTTCTGCTGATGACTGTAAATGAGAAATAACCCTGACAAACCCATTTCATCTCCATGCCTTACAGTGTCTACCGTTTTCACAAATCAGCAGGATGGACATTTAGGGTTGTACACCCAAAAATACTGACAAACCGATATAAAACATAAATAAATAAATAAATACATTTCAAATTAATTTATATTTTTTTTTTAAAACAAATGAATACACATTTTATAAGAAAAATAAATATGTCTATTAAAAATGTAAATATTTAAAATGTAATGTTAGGTTACTTGTGGAATATTTATGTATTCCACAATAACTTAAACATATAGAGAACATAAGACCATAGCAATATACTCTAAGTTAAATGACCATATTGTGTGTGTGTGTGTGTGTGTGAGTGAGTGAGTGTGTGTGTTCTGTGCGCCACGACGCCTCTGATGATGGTTCATGCATTCACACAGTGTGATCAGATGAATGGAAAAGTTTGAGCGATGATTTCCTGAACTCACCTTGATTGGTGTCATTAAAGTTTGATCCTGAACGAGTCTCTCCGCGAACGAACTGTCAGATATTATTGCGCTCCGGTGCGTTTAAACGAGAGCAAACAAACGCGTACTCTTCAGACAGAGATATTCCTCCAGAACACTGAAATCCACGAGCCTGATCCATGCATGTTCTCCGGCAGCTCTGCTGATCTGTGGGAATGCGTTCCGGCTGGGTTCTGTGTTCAGGAATCTCCCTCGAATCCCTCAGACGCGCACCGAGGCTCCATCTGCACGCGTCTGCTGCTGCTGAAGACGCAGGAACAGTCGCAAGCCCGTGTGTCGAGGGTCTCGCGGGGGTTCTGTTGCATCACCTGAGCGCGCGCGCGCACCACCGCCTCAGGTGAGCGCACGCGGGAGCGCGCATTCCCGGTGATTCGGTAGAAGAGACACGCGCTTCAATAAAGCTGTCCGTCATCTGTCCCTGCCTCAAACCCGCGCGTGCTTCCTACCTGGACAGCATCTCTAAGTGCGCGACAGAAGCGCAACGATCCCCGCAACAAAAATGCGTCTAAGAACGTTTTGCTAACATTCCCATTAAGTTCTGGAAACGTTATTTCTGAGTTCGAAAATTCCCGTTTTTAATATATTAAGAACGTTTCTTTTTGTTCCCCTGTGAACGTTCGGGGGAACATTCCATTCAATCGTTTAAAAAAAATGTTACATTTGAATGTTCTTTCAACACTCATTTTGTATATTTACATGGCGTTTTATTGGTTATGCGAACATTACAGAAACATTGCATTTTATTGTTTTGAAACCATTATAAAAATGTTCTGATTTTTTAAATGTTCAAAACGTCGAGAATATTCAGCAAATATTAGTAACATCACGAGGACGTTCCAAGAACACTTCCTCTGAACATTACCAGACAGAACGTTCCATAAACATTATTTTAGGAATGTTTTGTCTGAACACATACATAATCATTGTAATATTAGGGACATGTGGAGACATTTCTAATCAATTCTCTATATTTTGAGAAAATAATCATTAGCTATAGCTTAAAAACAAAAATCTAAAAATGTCACCATTTATTCATCGTCACGTTGTTGCAATTTTTCTGTCGAGAAATTCTGAAGAATCATCATATGATGGATGTACAGCTGCAAAAATGATACAAACAGTGATCCATAAGACTTATGCACTATATTTCAAGTCTTCTGAAGTCATATGTCTTCAGTTTATTATTCACAGAAACATCATATGTTCTCAGAAGACTTCAAAGAAGTATTACAAAAAAGAGATGCAATACGTTTCTTCAGAATTCATCCTTTCATTTTCCACAGGAAAACAAAACATATTTTGAGTGACACATGAGAGAGAATGATCATTTTATGAGAAATCTAATGTTTTCCACTCCACAACTCAAATCCTTCCTTCACTGTACATGCACTGTAAAAAAGATTGTTTTCTAACTTGTAAATAAAACAAAGATTATTGGAGTACATATTCAAAAAATGCTATTTCAGTCTTTCTACGTCAAGCTTTGACATTTAATTCAATGCATTCAACTTGCTGTTTCTTTGTAGTTGTAATATTTCTTAGCAGTTTCTGAGTGAAAACTGTTTGAGAGTAAATCCTGCATCAGTTGCATCCAGTCTCAGCAGATGAAGCTCAGAGACGCTCACTGATTCTCTCTCTCTCTCTCTCTCTCACACAGGTTAATAAACATGTTCATTAAGTGCTTTTGACACCAAACACAACAGCCAGATCAATTACACAATCATTCAGACTAAACATTAATGACACTCTGATTCCAGTCTGAAGTGATTTACTGAATCTCCTCAGACTGCAGACAGAACAGTTTGATTACATGTGTTCAATCATTTCAGAGGCCTTCAGACCGACTTCGGTGAAATCGATCGCCGTGCGTCGCAGCTCAATCACACATCTTCACCCGAGGAGTGTAAAACCCAGCACAGTCATTAAACACCATTTACTTTAACTCTCTGCTGAATGAAACAAGTCAAGAGTCAACTCAAGCTGCTTTCCTCACCTAAGCATCAAATGTTCAGCTGATCTGAAGGATTCATAAAATATAAATCAGCAGAATGATTCGCTTCACTGAGAGCAATAAGAGTCTATATTCTTTTAATCAGATCATTGTCACTGACGACTCTTACAGGATGTGTTTTATAAAGCAGCAGTGGAATGAATCCATAAAGGCATTGATATATTAAACTGTTAATCAATATTTCTCAGCTGCAGTAAACAGACAGACATGAGACAGTCTGTGTTGAGATGTGTGATATTGATCCGTTTACACAGACTAACAACACAAACCGCCTGCACATCACTGTTAAAACCAGAAAACTGTCAGCTCAGACGCCACTTACCGCAGTAAAATAATCAATTTCCCCCACATTCACATTACAGTGGCACAACAGTTTCAAACAGGTTTCCTAAATGCTATTGGTCAGACTAACAGATAGCCCCGCCCCCACACTCGTGTCATTGGCTGAGCTAGAACAAAACATGATCAAACATGATTACTACACTGAAAAATCAGAAATTGTTAGTAAATGTCACAGACAGTTACTAAAAAATGGCAATTAACACATTGATTTAAACATTAAAATTTTGAAGACTGAAATAGTATTTTGTGGCAAAACATACTCCAAAAATCTTGATTTACAACTTTCAAAAAATAATTTTTTACTGTGCAGCAGAGTTTAATGGATTCTGATTCAGAAGCAGAAATTTAATAACAGACAAAAAACTCTTCCTGCAACAATTATAGCAATATTGATCAAACTGAAAGAGCTATGCAGGAACGAAGCGTTTTAATTAAATTCATCTATTCATCTCAGCAGGTGATAATTATAGTTTACAGACTTCATCAACATGCTGCTGACAGACGGTCACATCAGCACTAGCTCAACACACAGACGCACGAGCAGCTGTTGCAGACGCTGATGGAGCAGGAGTGTGTGTGAGTGTGTGCGTGTCTGTGTCTGTGCCTGCACACCTGTGTCTGCGTCCATATGTATGTGTCTGCAGGTGTCTGCATGTCTGTGCATGTTTCTGCGTCCGTATGCGTGTGTCTGCATCTATATGCATGTGTCTGCATGTCTGTGCATGTGTCTGCACATGTTTCTGCAGGTGTCTGCGTCTGTATGCATGTGTCTGCCTCTATATGCATGTGTCTGCATGTCTGTGCATGTGTCTGCAGGTGTCTGCATCTGTATGCATGTGTCTGCATGTCTGTGCATGTGTCTGCAGGTGTCTGCATCTCTATGCGTGTGTCTGCATCTATATGCATGTGTCTGCATGTCTGTGCATGTGTCTGCGCATGTTTCTGTAGGTTTCTGCGTCTGTATGCATATGTCTGCATGTCTGTGCATGTGTCTGCAGGTGTCTGCGTCTATATGCATGTGTCTGCATGTCTGTGCATGTGTCTGCAGGTGTCTGCATCTGTATGCGTGTGTCTGCATCTATATGCATGTGTCTGCATGTCTGTGCATGTGTCTGCGCATGTTTCTGCAGGTTTCTGCGTCTGTATGCATGTCTGTGTGTGCATTTAAACAGGTATCTGCATCTGCATACGTGTGTCTGCAGGTGTCTGTGTCTATACTGTACTGTATGTGTGTGTCTGCATGTGTCTGGGCATGTCTGCATGTTTATGCATGTGTATCCAGGTTTCCATGTATGTTTGTGCGTGTCTGTATGTGTGTCTGCGCATGTCTACATCTGTATGTGTGTGTCTGTGCATGCCTGTGTGAGTGTCTCTGCATGTTACTGCAGGTGTCTACACGTTTATGCGTGTGTCTGCAGGTGTCTCTGTATGTCTCTGTGTGTGTCTGCGCACGTGTCTGCATCTATAAGCACGTATGCAAGTGTCTCTGAGCTAAGAGGAGATTCACTGCAAAACTGTTCCAGTGAAACATCAGGACTTGTCTCACCAAACGCTCGCATGGGCTCAAGATCTACTATAATTTCACACATCCAGCTGTTTCACTCAGATTTACAGTGCATCTATTTGACATTGGCAATAGAGAAAAACATGTTTCACGAGCCAATCAACTGACAGGTAAGTCCTGTCCTACTATCTTCCTTGAGTCTGGTTTCACTCAGAAATGCATTGGATTATGCGAGTAAAATGAATGTTGTATATCATTGACGTTATCTGGGAATGCTGAATGTCCATATGTTGCTGATCAGAAAATGTCAATTCAAACCAACTCTGCATTACTGTTTTATTTTGAGCAAGATTTTGAATGTAACACTGGCATTTAAACTGGTCAATGATCAATGCAGAGTTTATCCAAACTGAATGAACTATCCACCTTTTTCTTCAATGCAGAAGTAAGCCTATGGGCAACGCTTCCGGTTCATTAGCCGCTAGACAAATAACGAGAATAATAACAACGTGCAGTAAACAGTAAAACTGTTTGCACTACAAACCAGTGTGTTCGTAATTAAGATAATGCATTAAAATAATATGGTAAGAAACCAATTTTTTTTTTAATATCAAGCAGCAAAATGAACTGTTCTGTACAGCTAAAAATAGCTAGACCCACAGAATTTACAAATAGCCGTGCCAATTTTACGGGAAGAAAAAGGTGGATAGGCTATACTTAGATTTGGTAAGCTATAATCTGACATTGCATTGATTTGTGAGGCAGATTCACTCATTCTTTCTTACAACAAACCAGCTCTTTTACACGCTTTCTGTGTGTGTTCAGAGGGAAACTCTACGTATGTTTTTCATACGTTATCATCATCATCTCACCCTCTTCTTCTTCAGGATGAACTCAACGATAATTACAGTTAACACTGCGTTCTGACAGTCAATAAAGTCATTCTGATTTCAGACCACAGTACTGAATATGCCACAAATCTCAGATTAAAAATAAGTGCAACTGAACAGAACGAGAAAACGAGAAGGGCTTTCTGTGCCAACAAAACATTATCCAGTCTGAAATGCCAATTAGCATCTGAAAATATTGCAGTCGGTAACAGAAGCGATTATACTGGCAGTGAAGAGTGAGGTCTGCTAGTGAATCATGACAAATGAGCAACACTTCCTTCCTCACCATCTGCACTCACTGCGAGGAAACTGAGAAAAAACAACCCAGATCTGAAAGCATTTGACTTCAGAAAGTTGGACAAGAACACACAACTTCAGTATTTATGAGATGACAGACACGACTGCAGTCAGTGATGCTCACAAACATACACAAATGCACACATAAAAAGAAACGTGCATGCAGAGAGAGAATTAAAAGTTTCAAATAATAAGAGTTTAATTTGATTGTTATTTCTTTATGCTCTTTTACATGATT